GTTTTTTTTATGCTTAACAGTAATGCTAAAGAAAATTGAATTAGCAAAAGACGTTGTTTGCTTTCCTTTTGGAATAATCGGTTTCTATTCTAAAAATCTGGTTTGAACCGGAAAATCTGAAAGTTTGAGTTTTGGCACTTTCACACTTCCGATTTTGACAATTCGTCGACCTTTAACATCTTAAACTTCCCATAAAAATCCAAATGTCCTAATTAAGTGCCTCTCATCTACTATTTCAGACAGGTAACATATCTCTAGCTGAACTGCTTCTATCACATAACACTCATCAACAAAGCACTGCCGTAGATGGAGCGGGAGACACACTGCTTCATCTCAGCTGTCGAAGTGGCAATCTTGGTAAATTTGACATCAGACTTTTTCTGGGGAAATCCAGGTAAAATGTGAGCTTGCAGATGCTGTTCGAGTAGCAATCGCGGCTGGTTGTGATGATGCGAATATGCAAAATGCGATTGGAAGAACACCTTTACACGAGGTTGCAAGCTTGGGTGATCAAAATCTGCTCAGAGTCATGTTCAAACTCCATGCTAACGCAAACATCCATGATAAGGTAATTATTGTGTAGTTGTAAGTCAGCATTTGTAGGAAAAGTGTTAGGAATTATTTTATAAAAACAACAATTATGGACTCTTCCGATCTCAAGCCATTTTGACACATTTTATAATCTTATTAAAAATTGAATTCGTATGAACTGCATATCTAGAGCCCATTTCAAAGCTACACCTACTTCTGCCAACGTATCTGAAGCTTTGACTTTCTCAAATTTTTCGACAAAAGAGTTGTTGAATTTTTGTTTGAAAATCTTAATAATGTAGTACATCACCAGCAGTATACCTTGACGATATCACATTGAGTTTGAGACTTTCTTAATTTGCTGGATCCAAAGTTAGTGAGGTTGAGATGTTCCTTCCTTTGAATACGCCACAATGGGGTTTAATATGAATATCGTCAGGGTATTTACTGTCATACACTTTTATAGGAAGATTGCGACTTTCTAATGATGTATAGCCTTCTCAGCTTGTGAGAGTAGTTGAATGTCTATTGCTAGGTATATGTCTATTAAGGCGTTACATATACCTTGGCAAAAACGAGAGCATGTGGAAACCTGCACTACTTTTTGACTGTTTAATCAAATTATTGAAAATCCAAAATAAAGAAAACTTTTGCACTTGTACGTCTATTTCTGAGATTTTTCGTTAATTGTTCTTGAAAATTTATCGAAAATTGATTGCTTTTATAATTTATTTACTTGTGTAACTCTGTCGAACCCTATTCCTATCCCTATCTTTTTATAAATTT